CCATATATGGAGCCTGATTCAACACCTTGACAGTAGCCCCTATAAAATTAGGGGTACAGTGAACGGGAAGCTGCCTCGGCTATTGTTAGCACTGAATTCACTTTAAAAACTATAGGGAAATACCATCTAAGCTTGAAGCAATATGTGTTTTTTAAAGTTTTTAAACAGTATTTGTTTTTAATGCTTCTGTATTGTCTATATTTAATAGTGTAGTGTCAACTTGTATATGAGAATAAAATGAGTGATACAAATTGCCTTGACTGCTTGTACTGTGGCTTGTGTGGTCTCAGGTTTTTGATTACAGGGTGCTTTAGTCTCTGCTTGTCCCAGAAAAGTGGGACAAGTGAAAAGTGACTGGTGTTGGGTAAAGGCTTTAGAGTACAGTTAGAAGGCTGAGAGATGAGCTTGTCTCCTATGTTCTTCCTGTAATTCTCCCATAGATTCTTAATCCCCTTTCCCCATCTGACTGGCTTTTTCTACCACTGACAAGGAAAAAATAGAGTCTAAAATATAACAGCATGTTGAAGTGTTAATTTGGAACTTTGGAAAAAAGAAGGTAACGGGGAGAAAAGAAGCTGCATCACTAGAGCAAGTATAATCTTGCAGATAGGAAAAGCTGAGTTAAAGGATTGGCTACAGTTAAGCTTTCTGTATGTTGCTGGTTCTACAGTATATGAAGGAAACAATTAAAGCTACCTGGTATTTTTACTGCCTGTAGATTTACAGTGTGTTACTTTGAGATTTTTGTAGTGTTTAATTCTTTGAGCATCTAGGATATAATGCAAATGAGTTGCACAGATTAATCAGGCTTTTTTATAGCATTCATTTTTTTAAGGACTTGTGTGAGGTGTGTACTTTTGAGCCATACGATACCTAGTTGAATGGGTCAACTGTGAATTGCCTGGAAAAGTTACAAGTACAAATTCATTCTGTATTTTCCCCTTTGCTTAATGCTTTAAAAGTGCTAAACTTCTGAAGCCACATTCTTCAAGAGATCTAGACAAGGAAAGTAAGTGCACCTGTGCATCTAAAACCTCTCAAGGACACACAGAATGGAAGTGATGTATTGTTCCTCTCTAACAGGGAGTTGCAGCAGCAGGGTTGAGGCCCTCCTACAGCACAGGCAAAGCTGCAACTACAGAGTGCAAGGAGGGTCTTGTACTGGGGAAATACACTGAAGCACCCCAGCTCCTTTAGCAGCTGCTGCTGCTTTCCTAGTCCCATACTGAATTTAGCAGAAGTCTTTTTTCAAGACCAACACTTGTTATGTTAACAGACTTAGCAAGCAAAACTTGTACAAGTAAATAGTTTGCTGTAAGACACCTAGAAAATCAAGAAAGACTCTTTATTTGGTGCTAGATACAGGCATTAAGTGAAACAGTGTAGACCAACAGTATGGTTAAAAGGCAAGACATAGGCTTTAATAAGACATTTAAATCTTTTAAGTCTGAACAGCTAAAGCTCCACATCTAATAAATCCTAGGATATATGTACCCAGTATTATTTTATGTAAAACTCCAAGCCATCTTCCTTTGGTAAAGTAAGAATTTTACACTAAAAACATATATAATGTAACTTAAGTATCACTTAGTGTTTAGGTGAGCTAGGTTTGGTTTGCTCTGAACTATCATGCTAAAGCTTGAAATCTACTCTTGGGCTGTTACTAGCATGATGTTTATTTTTAGAAATAAAAAAAACTCAGGAGAAAGAGTAAACAGTATAGCTTGCACTGCTGAGAGCTGTTGCTTCCAACAGTATTTCCCTCAGGTGTTGCCATTTTAGAAAGTTTCTTTTTAAAATGTCAGTGAGATATGCAGCATAAGACGTTGTGATACTACAAAAGATGCACATTAACCTGGTTAATATGTATACTGTAAGAGTATACATTAAAAAAATGGTAAAAACATGTCAAAAATCATGATGATGATACTATTTTTTTCCTTCCAGGTAGGAAGGGGACAGCTTAAGACAGTTGGTTACAGAAAGAATAAAACTGTGCTTACTGCTTCTTAGCCACAGACACTTGACCAAAATGATTGTTAAGAACCAGGTATAGAAAAAAGGCCAGTCTTGTATATAAAGGGAAAAGGGCAGGAAGAAGTGTAAGAAAATCCCTGCCAAACTCCTAAAATTTCTATTTAAAAGCAACAGAATTACATAACAGGCCCCTGCTCCTTTCAACTGCCACTGTCATAATGGAAAGAAGAAATTTTGATCAACAGCCCAACACCACTTCAACCATTGTAACAGTGACAGGAGAGAGACCTTGAGCTTTACTTGTGCAGTCTCTCAGCTGATAAATAAGCACTCAGCTTCCACTTTAGTCAGTACACCAAGAAACCTTGATTAGATCATGGTAAAGGGGGGAACAGACTCCCCGCTATCTTTTCCCAGCATTCCAGAACAGGTTTGGGGTTTTAGAACTAACAGAAACACAACCCATCTCAGTTAATAATACACCATTTGGACTGGTGGAGGAGACAACTACATCCAACATCTGCTTCCAGTTCTGAGTAGTGGAAGCCAAGATAAATGGAGTGATGATTAAGAAAGGTAAGTTTCTTTGGAGTTCTTTGATGGTCTGGTAAATGCACAGTTAAGCTGCTTCAAAAATATTTATATTTGTACCAGGAAGAGAATATTTATTGGGAATAATTTTTATCAATTATGCATCTTGTTATATTTATGATTGGATTTGTTGTTACATAGGAGAGAGATACATAAGTCTTTGGCCCCAACAGCCTTTTTAAAACTAAACCTAGGCTTTTCAAGTGCAAAACAAACTTAATTCCTTTTAATTCAGAGATGACTTTAAGTGTATAATTTTCAGATAAGCATCCATTTGAACCAAAATGTCAGGATGAAGAAAACGGTTTTAAACACAATTTAATTCCATGAAAGATTGTATACCTCTGTGTAGCATTCTTGCTTTGCTCTTGTGCTTTAACTGCCCTCTAAATTACAGCATCAGTTCAGTTTTCTGGTTTAGTTTTCAAACATGCATTTGACAAGGGGCCTTCAAATAGAAAAGATTCACATACAGAAAATAATAAAGCATGTTTGACCTTGGAATTTCAATCCTGGCTTTTGATAAAAAGAATTATTTTGTTTTAATTTGCACTTCCAAGGAGGCATCCCATTTCTAGTTATACAGGTAACTAAGTAAAAATGTCACTAGTGGTTTCCATCAGTGCAAGTGAAGTTCCCCCCTCACTTGGTTGAATTCAGCTCCCTCCAGAAACACTAGCTTAGTTCTGCAGCTCCTTAGCTGGCAAAACAAAAGCCCCAGGTCTCTTACCTGATCAGCTGTCATGGCACTGTAAAAAATGATATAATACTTGTCCTTCAGTCTTCCCTCTTGGACCCTCTGCAAGTCTCTTCTGTCTCCAGCTGTGGAATGAGGACAGGATTCCCAGTCTCCCACCCCATGCCTCTTCACCACAATAAAGAGAGGGCAGGAAACAGTCTGAATTGCATGTTTTAACATAGGGAAAAGAACTCCCAAACAACCCAAAAACCACAGTCCCAAGGCTGATATTCCCCTTGATGAGTTTCACAGGAAGAAAGAACTACTTAAGTAGTAGGCTTGTTTTTTTTCCTTCCATCACCAGACCCTCCAGGGGTAAATGTGGACAGCATTACATACAGTGCATTCACATAAAGTTCAAAGGTAGCACTCTAGCAAGACAGAGTAAGTTCCTAGTTTTAAAATTCAAGTCCTTAATTGTACTTTATGAAAGTTTAAGAAAAATAAATTAGTATTTTAAATTTCATACACTCAGGATACTTTAGAAGAACCCATTTGGGTTCAGTTTGTACCTCACCAGATATGCTTCAGTAGAGATCATATTTCCACAGCTAATTGATTTCTCTGTTTGTGTTGAGCCCAGGAGAAGTGCTGCTGTGATAATTCTCCATAAGCCCATGCCCCTGCCTTAGAATTACAACACACACAGAAAATGCACAGTTCTGTTCACATATACATTCCACCTTCATGATGCCAGTGCTATACAAAACATCAGGACCAAGAAAAAAAAAAAAATCTGAGTCAACAGCTGTTTCAGAGACTTAAAGTATTTTTTCTAAACTTTTCAAGTTTGATAAAGGAGCTTCAGAAGTTATTTAAGAACTGTGATCAAAATAGGATATGTGAATATCAATAAAAGTTACCTTTCCACCTTGACATATTAGTAAACATAAAGTTGAGAATCAGTCATGTCAACAGCTTGTTAGAATGTGGCAAGCTAAGAAAGAAAAAATGAAACCAACAACCCCTCACTGACCAGGGCCAGTGGTTTTATAATTCAGGTCATAAATATAAACTAATGTGCAACAAACAAACATGACAAAACCTACCTCAGTTAAGTTTGTTTATATGATAAAAAAATAAAATATTAAACTGCTTGTAGTGCAACATTCTATCAGCATACTGTCATGCTTTGTAAATTTACTGTTACATTATTTACAGTATATAGCAATGCTTTAAACTAGAGGTGAAAGAACAAAAACAGGTAATGGAAAATGTTTACATACAGATGAGTCTTAATATTGCCCACCAAGTTATCAAGTTTGCTTTGCAAACTTTGTGTCACATGAACGTTCCTGCTCCATTCCACAGGGTACACCTTTCTGTCAGCAGTGGCCTGCTCTGCTTGTAGATAGTGGAAAGATGTTTTTAAAAACTGCACAGCCTTCAAGCTTTGTCTGTTTCTTCACCATTTGCAAGGACAGCTGTAAAATACACAAGAACACCATCAATTATCTACATCTGATCAATCTGAGCACTCAGCTCCTGAAAGAAGATCAATAACTATTCACTCCTGTAGAGCTGTACCAAAGCTGGGCTAAATTAATGCTCTTTAACAGCAGTCTCTTAGTGGAAGGATTCTATTTTATAGGAAGAAAATAAGGGAGAAAAGCAGTTCAAGAATTCCTATCCATTATTTAAAATTCTGAGCTCTAATTGGGAATGAAACTCTCTGAATATAGAACAAAATATGAGAATGTAGAATTATATGGTGCCTTACTCAATGTTCTGTAAAGCTTCTGCTGGTGTGCACTGCTTGAAGTGATGAAAAATTAATACAGTAAGAATGATGCAGTAACTATGCCTGCAGTACTTGTTTAATTTGATATCACTGTCCTTGTATTACAGAAATAAGGATTAATGATATCAGAATAATTAACTACACAGCAATTCCTTAATTACCCTCATTGAGTGAGGGAGAAAGGACTTTCCTAACAGTCACTTACATACTGCAAGGCGGTAAGTAAAATCCATGAATATGGAGAGGTGTCTTAAAGACAACTGTTTATAAGAAAGACTAACCACCAAGCTGTCTTGGGGGTAGGTTATGTCACTTTTAGATCTCTTCCTCTACCACTGCTAAAGGGAAAGATCTGTTCCTCACTTCCTCTGAAGAATGTCTTTGGAAGACTTTTAGAAGACTGCACACCCATTCCATAGGCTGCAACAGCCCTAGAAGAGCTCCTTTAGATGACAACACTGCTTAAGCAGCAAATACTACTAGTCTCTTGTTGACATTCCTGTTCATACCAGACAGGAATCAGAACCACTCTGGGCTGGTTTTAGGTGGAAAAAACAAAGTAGAAGTTTGAAATCCAGTATTATCTTTGATTTTCAAGTCTCAGTCTTTACATTTCATTTTTCCAGAAAAGATATAATAGCTTTGGACAAGATACTGCACCATACATTTTGTGAATTCTCATAATATCTGTCCACAATACAACAGAAATCATTCACCTTCTCTACAGTGCATTAGGTAACTCTTGGGGCATTTCAGGAATACAGAATTTTTCAATGTTTTTCACAGCATTACTCAGAGTAAGCAAAGATCTGTAAATACTTTGGTAAGAGAGCACTAGTCTTGTTTTAGTGGGCAGATGGTAGAAGAAAAAAAAAAAATCAAAGTATAAAAGAAAATCCATTTTACTGTACATTATTTCACTATATCCTATGCTCCTTTACAGGCTAACTGTGAAAAAGCCAAGCACTCCATACAGCATATTTACGAAATACGGTAATTTACCCAACAGCCTGAGATTTTCTGTAACCTTACCTTCTGTATCTAAAGGGAGTATTCGGAATTTTGTGTTTTGTTTCTTTAACACCCACATTCTTGAGCACTTTGTGCTTGTGCTCTACGTGGTGATCTCAGCTGTCTCAAGGCAGCATCTCCATACTGAATACCTGAGCCCATTCTTTCTGGATCCAATTCTCCTGATGAGAGAAACGAAATGGTCACAAAAAGATGGAGCACTTGCAAATAATACATTCCAATTTAACTGATAACATTAGACCCCCCCCCCAAAAAAAAAGCATAATGATGTTAAGCTCTAGTTATGAAGAGATCTATTGCAATTCTGTTTACTTTTAGGCAATTCCAAACCGGTATTGTTTTCTCCTGTAATTCAACTCTATGCCTTTAATCATAATGACAAAGCAGTTTGTCTCAAAGTTTGGCTGCAACAAGAAGTGTATTTGCATTAACTACTTCTAACAAAGGAAGTGTCCAAAATGTTTTCTGCAAACATTGTTAAAAACACCTGCTTTCAAAGACTAATATGCAAAGAAAGTAGTACAGCAGATACTAAGCCAAACAACAATGGATCAGTCTGACAGTAGAGTTCCATAAAGCACTGCCCCCAGGGGAAGTTATCTCAACCTGCCCTACTTCTGGTATCCATTTCCTCCATACCCTGTGCCTTCAGAAATGTTCCTACAGCTGTATGGCAGACTGGCCAAGATTAGAAACATTTAGTCTAAAAAAGCAAAACAAAACAGAGAACCCTTGTAAATAATTCAGATCACTTATTCAGGTTCACTGCACACACGTGTGCCTGCTGTAAGTCAGCAGATGACACCATGTTGAAGGGACAAGTCGATAGCTCAAGAGCAGGGTTGCCATTCAGAAAAGACCTTGGCTGAATTAGAGGAACAGGACAGCAGGAACCTCATGAAATTCAGCAACTGCACATGCAGAGCTCTGCCCCTGCGATGAACCACCCCAGCACTGCTACAGGCTGGGGCCTGACTAGGTGGATAGCAGCTCTGGTTAGCACTGGGACACATTGCCCAGAGGGGCTGTTCCTGGAGCATCTCAAAACGTGCCTCGACAAGCACTGGGCAACTTGCTCTCCCTTGGAACCTCAATGTGCTTTAAACAGGAGGCTGGACTAGAGACCTCCATAGGTTCTGTCCAGTCTCAATTTTTCCATGATTCAATGCATGTGTGCTGGCACAAAGGAAACAGGAGCAGCTCACAGAAAACAGAGCTTACTTCTGTTGTGGTAATGCCTCTTTAAATGAGTCATGGAACTACAGTATCATGAGAAACTAGAGATACTCTGCCCTTTGGTTTGTTTTTTTGTTTGTTTGTTTAAAATGAAAACTGCTGTTTGGCATTGATTTGATGCAGTATTCAGGAAATTCCTAGGAAAATACCATATTCTTTTCATCCAAAAAATTGTTTGGCATTCAAAATATGTAATTAAGAGTCCGAGACAGACTTTTCAATATGGCAAATACTTAAAACTTTTAAGATGTCAAACAAATAGAAGATAAAAGTGGAAAACTGGAATGCAAATTAGCTGTAATGACACCTAACACTTAGGAGCCTGTCTCCAATAGAAACCTGCCCACTTGTGCTGAGAAGCTTCTAGATATATTTCTAGATCTGCAGAAGTAAAAATGGTTTCAACTGAGAGGCAGGAAGGTCACTTCAGAGAAACACGGTTGCTAGGAAACATCCCTGAAATCTTCAGTGTTACTGTTCAAATTCTCTTGACTGTATTTCCTGCTACATATAAGAAGCAGAATCAAAAGTTATGTCTGCCCTGATACTAGTTTTTTATTCTGCACTGCTAAACCTGTCTAATGTCAGGCTTGATGTTTGTAGGGACATCACAAACCACAGAATGCACAGCCTACACTCTGAGCTGACTGGTAAGGTAAACACTGAGTAAAAACATCCATAATTTAGGCTACTCCCCCTTTTAGATATACAGATCTGACTGACTTAGATGTCCGTTCCTATTAAAACACATGGGAAGCAGCTATAATCCAAATGGGTTATTTTACCACAATGAAATTTTGCTTCTTTGGGTTAATTCTATTAGAGAACTTCGGTGATATTTCCATAAGTACTTTCAGTTTTCAGGGGGAGGAAAAAAGAAAAAAAAAGAATATAAATCTCCATTTACCTGATTCAATTTTATTGAGTATTTTTCTTGCACACTGTACAAAGGCCTCTTCAACATTTTCCCCTGTTAGTGCACTTGTTTCCAAGAACATCAGCTCTGCATTTGACACCAGAAAAACAATCTCAAAACAAGCCTGGAATATCTGATATAGTATTTCAAAGCATGAAAGCTAGGAACAATATAAATTTTCCTATAGAGAACTACTGTCAAATACTATGGTCTGGAAAAATTAGCTTTTGAAAGCAAAACCACAAAAAACTTCTGAAATATATACATTAACCCTAGAAAGTTTGAATCCAAAGATAATAACTTGGGCTGCGCATGCAAAATAGCACATGAAACCAGAGAACTTCATATAATGGTTTCCCTTTAATAGAAAGTTATATGCAAAAGGACAGCCAGCAGCCACAGCTGGTAGAAAAGACTGTTTATAATTGATCTATAAAAGCAAACCCACTTTTTACTGATAGCAGGACTGCAGCACAGAAGCTCAAACTGAGATTGGCTTTAGCTGCTGCAGAAATGTGTCCTCAGACTGGAAATTGTGAATACTACAGGCCAGGTAATAGTCCTCTGAATCCATGCCATGCACTGAACTCAGTTTCCCATGAGTAAAACTCACTGCTTCCAACCTCGTCTATAATCTATAGACTCTATAAGATGCTGAAAATTAGTAAACTGTGCTCTTCATTTTCTCCTCAGCCCTTTGGAGACAAGGCAACACTTGAAGTTGTATTGCATTCGCTAGGGAATATATCTCCACATAGAAGGTATTCTTTCAGTAGCAGCTGCAACTGGAAGAATCACTGCTAATGAGATTTACATAGTACATGTAGCTCTCACTGCAGGCACTGTCCTCTAAGCTTCATGTACTGACAGAACTCTCTTTTCTGTAGATACTTGATAAGGTACAGCGGGTAAAATACTCCCTAACTGCACAAAATTTAAATTATTTTAAGTATTAAGCACCTTTGAATGCTACATGAAGATTCTGTACTACTTACCATTTTCTTGTGCAAACCGGGATGCTTCTAAAAAAGTGACTTCACGATCTGCATCGAGATCCTTTTTGTTTCCACACAGTATTATCACAATATTCTGACTTGCTAACATTCGTGCATCCGTCAACCAATTAGTAAGTGCGTTGTAGGTTTCCCGGCTATGTAGGAAATTACACCCTTTATTAGCACACACTCATTTCTAGTGAACAGATCACTGAACTAAAACTCAGAAGGCAAAACTACATTTGTGGCAAACCACAAATTGCTGCTCGTCAGGCAAGTCACCTACACATCTCAATATGCCAACTATGAACTAGGAAGAGTATCAAGTTCCTTCACAAAACTATTTAAAAGTTTAAAGTTTTTAAAAAG